CCTGGGGAAGGAGGCAAGACTGTGTTGTGTCCTTTGAGCTCTAATTGATAAATGTATCATGAATTGTCACTCTCTGGGCCACTGCTTAAAGTTCTCTTCATGGCCATGATCCAACCCTGAATGTTGCCTTTGAACTGACCAGCACAGCCTTAGGTCAACCAGAGCACATGCATGTGTTCCTAGCTGAGCAGCCAGGGGATCTGGTTCTGGTTTTGTTGTGAACTGTGACTCTATAGGCTCTTGAGTGCAATTATTTATGCTGCTACCTAACATATGTAACAATCTCCCGTCCCACAGGTGCAAGCCTTCACCTCTGTGGGTCCAGGACCTTTGTCTGATGTAGCAGAGAGGAATTCATCAGGTATGGATGACTTAGATGCCATCTCATGGTTTATCTGTAATAGGTGATGAAATCAATAGTACAGGAGTTTGGCAATCTGATAAATAGTTTCTGACACTTTGTGTGACATTTGTTCCTCCCTACAGTAGACATCACAGAGGAAATAGTTACAGCTTCTGACATGAAATGATTAACACTTTTCTTATCATTAGATTAAATTTCAGGAACCTCAAGCCTTTCCTCAAAACTATGCTAGATTAACTTTTCTAGGCAACCCCAGGGTAGTGTGAAACAGCAGGTTTTGACCTGTAATCTGCGTACTGCTAGAGATCATAGAATGTTTCTAATTGGGCTGTTAAAGGTAATTAAATGAGCAAATCTTCTTTTACTAGGCTTAAATTTGTTATTGCTATTGAAAAAAATCTTAGGAGTTTGCATGTGATGACAAGAAGGCATCTCATTATTTTATTTATTTGCTGTGACATATAACTGAATATAATTTGTGCAGGGCCATCATTTATTTTTATCTTGTACTTACTTTCCTTATGAATGACTGCTGTTTTCTAGAAATTTTTTGATAAATTCTGCTGTGCCCTTTTCCTTCCAGATCTTTTCCCTGTCCCAACTCTTATAACTGTTTCTGCCAACAAGTTGTTTCTTACTGACATTGACAGTAATCATACCATATGGGAACTTTCAGCAAAGACAAATGTAAAGGACATCTGTTATACTGCTAATGATGACAAAGTGTACTATATCGTAGAAGACTCTCTTTTTCTTCTGAATATACACACTACTTCAAAGTTTCAGGTATTCCTTTGTCCATTCCCTTGCTTGAGAGGATCTAGGAAAATATGTGGCCATTATTGTCATTATTTTGGGACTAATTATGTTTTTGAAGAAGTCAAAACTGCATATTTGAAACAGAAAGAAAAGCAGTATGATGAACAAAGCACATTTAATGGCAAAATACAGTGGGGAAATCAGAACTGGAATGACACAATTTTCTTAACAACTGACAGTTCGTATGAGAAGTTGTATGAAAGACATTAGCTGGATAATTTTCCTTTCTAGCAGTACAATAAAAATAAATATAATATAATAAGATTTGGACTTCAATATTTTTGTCATCCATAGCTGTAACAGTAGGCCAGAGTATGCCATTGGTAAAGTTGTCCTATTAAACATGTATGATTTTACTGACATCTGCTTTGTTGATAAGATATTTCAACAGACATTTAATTTAAAAGTCACACTATTAAATGCAATTTTTTTTTGGTATCAAATACAATTTAATTTAATTTGATTCCATTTTAATTTCAAGAATATGGAAGCAACATGGAAGCAACAATTGATATTTGTGAAACAATAGTTTTCATTTGTATAAAAATATTGGAATCTTTGTTCCATGGCATCTCTTTATATTTTGACTTCTACTTGCGAAGTAGAAATTATTTTGGAAACAAATCTAATTTCATAATGTCCTAGCATCACGTGGGAAAATTCTGCTCTCAAGCAGTTTTAGCAATGTTTTTGGTTTGTTTTTTTTTTTTAAGTTTTTCAAAGATGCATATCTTCACAATGCCACAGCCATCACAATTGACTGGATTGCAAGACATCTCTTTGTTGCCCTGAAAACACCATGGAATGAAACTCAAATATTTGTTATTGATCTTGAGCTCAAGATAAAATCTCTAAAAGCCTTGAACATACAGTTGGGTAAAAGTAATTCAACTGTATCATCTCTGTCATCATATCCTTTCTTAAGGTAAGGCATATATCACTAATAACTTTTTAAAGCATATTTTAAACATGATTTTCATGAAATCATCAACTGTTAAGGACCAAAAAGGACTTTTTATAGTACATGAGTCTTTTGCATTGTGTAAATCTTGGAAATTTCTGGATGTCGTTCTACTTTTATACTGCTAGTTGAGCTTGGACATACCTAGTTTCGAAAAGATGTCTGTGTTTGAGAAAAGATTTCAAATCATACTTAAATACTGATAGGTTCTTTTATTTAAGTGATGCAAATGGAAGTCAGCACCAGACAACAATTATTTATAGGAAAGGTTTATCCAGAATAGTCAGTTATTGTGACCTTCCATTCAAAAATATCCTTTAAACACCTGGAATCACTCTGCAACTGTGCTGCTGTAGTTACCTTGTTTTCAACGTTTGGGAGGTTTGTGACTGAAGTCACTTATAGGACTGCATTTAGGGCAGATTGCTCAGATTGAAGTTTTTCTACTGTAAGCAATGCATTTTATTTGATAGCCGCTTGTACTGGATGGAAGAGCTTGACTATGGCAGCCGCATGTTTTATTATGATATTCTGAATAACACCGTGCACCACATTTTGGGATACATTTCAGTAGAAGAACAGATGAGGAACTACTGCACCTGTAACGTGGCAGAAGCAGAGCTAGGAAGACCTATGAGTATAGATGTGTCTGACTCCAAGAATCCCCAGCTGCTCTTCATCAGAGGAAGAGATGAAATATGGGCCTCAGATGTGGACGGTTGCCACTGCTGGAGAATTACCAAAATACCAAGTTTTCAAGGTCTGAGTGCTCTGTTACGTTTCTAGGTAGTTTGTGATTCTTGCCTTCTCTTACATCAAACAATGTTCATTTCAGTAAAATAGCATTCATGAAGTACTTTCTTTATAAAATTGTTTCATCTATAGGCGAGATAGACAAAATGTTTGTGTTCTGTGTTTCCAGTTGTGTAACTTGTTGTTAGAAACTAGGAGAAAGAACAGCGCGAGAATATTTACTGATGCAAGTATATATTCTAGTAAGATGCAAATCAAATAGAGGCCCTACGGCCTGAAATGCTACTTATCAACTAATTTCACGTATTGTATTAACACATTATTTTGTTAGGGTTTCCTATTAGATACATCTATTACAGTTTATCTCAATGAAAAGATAAAATACCATCTTAAGTTATGCCTGAAAGTGGCAATTCAGACTTCAGTCTGTGGGGAGGGTACTTCGTACAGGTAGAGTCTTGTATGACAACTTATCTATGTTGCACTTCTTGTAATGATAACACTTAATCATGGTTGCTCAGTTTTCAGCTCGATTCTGGAGGGGTGCTGGTAAAGCTGTTCTGCTACCAGAGGAGCTGTTACTGAGAGATGGCAGAGCACTGTGGTTTTCATCTTGGAAAAATCATGGAAGTTTCTAGAGACAACTCTTGCTCTTGTGTTTTATGTCTGGTGTTTGTTAATTGAATTGCAGTTCTCATAATTATGAGTAATAAAAAGCATTCAAATCTACACATGTAAACTGAAATAACAAGGTGTTTCAGCTTCGTGAAACCTATTGGAAAAGATCAGAAATCGCTTTTCCAGGGGAGGTCTTTGAAGATATGATATGACCAAGATACTCACCCATATTGACTCACTGTGAATACGAGCACCCATCTGCTCTTGTAAAATTGTCTGCTCAGGGTTTATTTCGAAGATTAACTGTACAATGTTTCCTTACAGGTAAGAAAATTGGCAGTGTGACTGTAGACAAGAAGTTTATGTACTGGAGCATTGAAACAAAGGAATACACTGAAATTTGGCTAGCAAATAAAGAAAGCACAAGACACTTTCTTCAGAAGAGAGCAAATCATGAGCTGAAAATCTTAGCCTACAGCTCAGCGGCGCAGTTGTATCCAGGTAGAGGGAATTTGGATTGTTTTGTAAATGTAACAAATTAATTTCAGAGCATGTATTTGAGTTGCAGATCTGCTATGTGTATTTATGTAAAGTATGCTTTATGGATTCAGGTATCTTTTAGAGGGAAACGATTCACTATGCACATTTTTAAAAGGATGAATATAAGGACTGGCCTTGTGTTGGATCACATGGAAGGTCATGATGATGAATATTATCCATATTTCAAAGGCTCAGGATGTTAATGCCAAACCATGCCTATTCTCAAAGTTGTGTCAAACCTGGAGATTCAGAAAAACTAGTGCACGTTAAAGCAAAGAAGAAAAGCAAACATGTCCACAAAGTGTTGTAGCCAGAGTTTGATAACGATCCTTGTTATGATGCAGATTTCTGGTTTTGTTCATAAGTATGCAAAGCTGAAAAAACACGTCTGCCCTTCCAAAGTCAAAGAGATAAGAACTCTGATTATTAAAATGATTTATAAAGAAGTACCTGAAAAGCAGTTACAGCTTACATTATAGTAGACCCAGGCTTCTCTTGGAACTCCTAATATTTTAAACGAACTATTGTAGAATGATAATGAAAGAAATAAAAATTAGTTTTAATAGAAAGTTAGGATTCATGGTACCTACAGGGATTGTCTTTGTACATGCAGATGTTTAGAACAGCTACTAGCATGAGGAATATATTCAAAATATTTATTTAACTTCAGTTTTGCATAAAAATCTCACAAATATACAAGAGAATATTATAATAGGATGGACTTCTTTGCAGTAAAAGAATTTCATGTTGTTTTGAGCAGCCAGTAGAGTTACTCCTGCCTGCAGCTGCTCTGACCGATGCTCAAGCTATTCTTACCTGCACTTTGGGCAAGTTTGTTCCCATGAGGTCCGTGTGGCTTGGCATCGGTGCAGGAGCCTGGTTTGGCCCTGGTACAGAATGTACCGATCCCTAACCCCAGGGATAGGGTTTCCTGCAAGAGCCTCAGGCTCAGCTGGTGCAGAAAGGGAAGAACCGAATTTCAGTCCAAAGGGATTATTTCTACCCAGAGAACTCTTCTTATTTACATTGGCTGCTGCAAATACGTTTGGAGGAATACACAGTGTTGGCATTTGAGGGGGGAGGGCAATGCATAGAATTATTCACACAAGTTTAAGATAAAAGTAAATGAACACACTAAAATAAGAAAAAAAAAATTTCTTCTCCATCTCAGTACTGAAAGCAAATGGTGTTTATGTCAAAAAGTGATGTTTGCAAAGACCAGCTGGTTGACTGACATGCTTTTTATTGCTTTAGTGATGTGAGCAAGGAGTACTACTAGAGTTTCCTTTCATTCTAACCTATTTAATTACCATCCAGAGATGTGATGTCAGTTGATCATTTAACACATCAGAAGTACTCAGTGAAAATTATTGTCCTGTCACAGATTCTGTGAGAGAGTGATTTCTCTTCAGGGTTAGGAGGAAGGGGACTGAATATGTAGTGAAGGATTTTCTTGTCAGGGGAACCACATTTCTATGGAAGTACCTGACAGAAACTTTAACTCTGAAAATGACTCAGTTCTTTATTCCATCTGGGACTTTTCCCATGGGAGTTTTGCTACTCTTGGTAACTGTAAAATTGACAGAGATTCAACCTTACATTTATTTCTGTTGAAAAGACTTTTTTATTCTCCTTCCCTTATATGCATGAACCTGATTTTGGTAGGAATGGCAGGGTTGCTCATTTAGGGAGAAAAGGTCTCGACAATGAGGTCAGCTGTTCTGGCCTAAGGGCAAATATTTGTCCTTGCACCACCTTCCCTATGCATGTGCCTTGATCTTTTCCTTCTTGGCAGCAAGTCCATTTAATATATTTTAAATTTATTTTAATTAATAATTGAATTTAAAAGTACATGAAGTGATGAACGGTTTTCTTTTGTTCCTTTTTGTTTACTGTCACAGAATAGTTTTCTATTGTTTTCTCCCTATAGACTCCTTTTCTCCTTCCAAAATTTATCTCCACTTTCCCTGTTGTTACTATGAACTTTACACATGAAAAGCTGTTTGGAAGGAAAGAGAGATAACTTTTAATTGCTAGAGAAAAGTACTCTGTATGCTGCATATCTGTCTTTCCTGTAACAAGCAAGTTTGGACTCATCAGTGTGTACTGCCCTTGAAAACACAGCAACTCGGATCTCGATTTCCAAGGTATTTAGGTACTTAAAGAAGAACTTAAATTCTTTCATAAATCTGTATCTTATCAAAGATAAATGAGACTTTACTTTGATGACTGCTATTTTTGTGTCCATGAAAGTAATAAAATTAAGTACGTTCAGGAGCGATTTTTTTCTGTTTCTGTTTGTAAAAGCAGAGAGAATACTTTGTGGTTATGCTTTCTCATAGGAATGGTGGTAGAATCCCATGCAAGTTTGGATTGGTCCAGCAGTAATTATTTTTTTTTTTTATTTTTTTGTTGTCTTTCCTAGATAAAAGATGCCTGATTCTATTGCCAGACACTGAGAAACCTACGATCCTTGATACGACGAACACCAGTTTTACGTTAAGCTTGCCATCTGTCACACCACAGCAGCTATGCCCCAGCATATCGCAGCCTACACCAACATATCTGGTATTTCTCAGACAAATAACAAACAACTGTAGGAACTCAAGCTACTGTTTGTCTGATCTACAGCAAGAAACATTGGTATGGCTATTTTGGAACAAAAATGCACGTGATATCATATGTAAACAGGGAATGTGGTATCACTTCTAGTCATTTTATAAACCATTCTGTACTTTCCTATCAGGGAGTTTTTCCACTTCTACATCCCCTACAGAAATTCCCCTTTCTGTTTGATATTTGTTAAGTGGTAGATTCCTTAGCTTTCCTTTGTGCAATAACTCCTTTACTTTTTAACATGCTTTTGCTAAAATCCTGTTGAAACGGGTCTTCAATTTCTACTTGTAAAAAGAGTAATTGTGGTTGATATTAATCTGTTTAAATAACCCTTGAGACTGTCCAGCAACCATATGGCTTGCCTTTATGTATTCTGTGCTAGTTGTACTTGCCTTCGTAATTTTTTTCTTCGGTTACATTTTTTTTGGACTTTGCCATTTCCTGTTTAAGTACCAGCCACTGAACAATGTGGTATTGTAGGCATGCTAATTACACCTCAGCTGGTTGTCTGGCATCTGTTTTCTGTAGTGACCTATTGCCCAAACTATTATTTTAACATTCTTTTTCAAACACTAAAGTGCATTAGAATACAAAAGCACTACTAGATTATTTTTTAACATGAATTTCATTGCCAGATGATTGGTGTTACATATGACTCTCTTTTCTAAGAATACATGTTTATTACCTGATTTCGAATTACAGGAATTTCAGGGTCCTGTAGCCGTTATAAACAACCTACAGCCATTTTCAAGTTATGTCATACAAGTTGCAGTGAAAAGCTACTGTTCAGATGAGCAAGCGCTGCCTATGCTAAAAGAGACAATTGGCACAACTCTATATGGAGGTTTGTTTCACATTTTATTCTGATTTTGAACAGAATTCTCATCTCAGTTAAAGGAAGGTGTGTGCAAGTTTGGGTTGCAAATCAGAAAGCAGAGAAATTTTCTGCTTAAAATGTAACCTATCTAGCTCTTCACAAGGTTTTGGCAAACAGAGTTGATGAATCTGTAAGATTCATAAGACATGTCTGTATTCTTTAATCTTTTGCTCTTTGGCTGCCTGAGAAAAAACAAACTATGGTTAAAAGTTGTGTTTGAATATATATGTGGTTGTGTATGTTTAAATATGTGTGTTATGTATTCATTCAGCATTAAGATTTTTCCCCTTGGCTTGACATTATTCTCATAATTATGGTTTCTCAGGGTAATGCAGATTTGATTTATTGTGATCCAGGCTGAAAAGACAACACTTCATTTTTTACTTCTTTTGGTCTCAATGCCAATAGCACATTTTCAGGTGGTGTCAGGAGTTTTGATGTGCCCTTCTCAGTCCCTTTCACACCAGAAGAAGAAAACTAGGAGTAGTGCTTTGAACTTGAATGTTCACTGTGTCATTTAGGACAGAGAGTGGACTGGTTAGGGATTACCTACAAAGAAATAAATACATTGGTAAACTTACCTAATTACGGCAGAAGGAAGCTAAGAAACTTTGGTGGGAGTGAATGGGTGAGAAAGGTAAGAGTGAAGGCAAGAGGCCAAGATATGATGGCAAGTGTGGTGAGTTGACCCTGGTTGGAGGCCAGGTGCCCACCAAAGCCACTCTGTCACTGCCCTCCTCAGCCAGACAGGGGAGGGAAAATATAACGAAAGGCTCCTGGGTTGAGATAAGAGCAGGAAGAGATCACTCAGCAGTTACCGTCACGGG